CCCCCCCCCCCCCCCGCCATGGTACAGTGACGACAGTCAACACACAGGAGTCCTGACAGAGAAACCGAGGTAGCTTGGGAGGACAAGTGAATGACCTGATGGAGCACGGGTGGGCAGTTAAGAGATTGAAGTCCAGGTCTCCTGGCTTGCCAACCTACTGCCCGTTCAGGTATAGCTATACCGTGTTATACCACGATCAAAATACTCAAAGATAGGTCTGGTGGCCTAGCATCAACCAAGCAGAATGGACACTGGCCATGGTGCTGAAGCAGGGTTTGCCCCCTTTGCTTGCTGCGCTGGGCGAGGAACCAGAATGGCAGTTCCTTCATACAGCAGCAGTGTGGCAATGGTCACCAAAGGAATGGCTATACTAGATGGACCCCAAAAGACTGCCCATCATTTTAGGGAAGAGTCTGGGAATACACATCCGTGTGGGGCCCCATTCTACCTTCCCTGCTTCTGGCACTTACCTGTTGATACTGGTTATAGCTGGGCTGAGGGTAGGTCTGTGCCGCGGGGGGCGGTGGTGGGGTGTAAGGGGCTGGACTGTAGCCGCCGTAGCTCCCATAGTTGTAGGCAGGTGGTGGAGGAGGTGGAGGTGGTGGGGCTGTGTAGCCCTGGCTGTACCCTCCCTGGTTGTAGGGAGGCGGCTGGCTGTAACTCGGCTGGAAAGCAGGAGGGGAAAAAAAAACAGGTCTCTGTGAAATAGCTAGCTCAGCTGGAATGGAGGAAGGGCCTGTGTATGCAGTGAGCCCACAAAGGAATGTCCCCCTGGGGAGGCTGTTCGAGGGCTAAGAAGGGGGTGGGTCAGCTCTGTGACCGGGCAGGACAGGGGAGGGTGCAGAGCTCTATCCTGGACTCAAATCCCAGGCCTGAGACCTCGGGAGCAAGGGACACAGCATCTCTTGAAAACGTAGGTGTTTCCCTACCCCCTGCCCTTGTAAAATGAGAATTACAACAGGACTAACCCTTTGGACTGTGTTGTATATTCAGTATGCTTATGTGCACACTCCATTGAACACAATAAACAGTGGTATTTGTTACAGGAAGACCAGCTAAGGAAAACAGTAGTGGCAATTTCCTAAGTGCTCCCCATGTCCAAGCTGTATCCTTAACTCATCTGACCCCTGATCAACTCTCTGAGGTAGGTTCCATTGGCTTTGTTTTATAGAGAAGGAAAGTGAGGCCAGGGAGGTGAAATCAACAGGGCCCAAGTCACACGGGCAAAAAGTCATGACTTGCCTCCAGGTCCACCTATTTCCACAGCCTTACCTGCAAAGCTATAATGTTATCTTTCCCTCACAGCAAACCTTGGAAGTGAGTTCTACTAACAACTCTAGGCCTTTATGAGGAAAACAAGGTTCTGAGAGGTAAAGCTGTTTGTCCAAGGTCACAAACCAGAAGGTTGTGAGGCTGGAGTTTGAATTTGTATCTGCCCAACTCCTGTTCTAGCAAATATTCTGGTTAGACTGGGGCTAGACCATGCACCTATTATCTCCTGGCAGTTGCCTCCAGGCCTGGCGAGTGGAATGCGCACAGTAAATGGGGACTGCTGGTTACAGGGCCCATGCACATCAGAGCCAAGAACCAACTCTCTGAGAACTTGAACTGAGCCTGGAGCTGCTTAGCAGTGAAGCTCTCAGGGCAGAGGTCAAGTTCTCACCAACCTCAGGGTCTGTCTCCACATCCTGAAGACAAAGCCTGGGCAAGTTAACACACACACACACACACACACACACACACGCGCGCGCGCGCACTCATCCTCTCACCTGTGGAGGGCTGTAGCTGCTGACAGGAGGGGTGCTGGTACTGGCGCTTGAGCCGGGGATGTTGCTGTTCTTGTTGTAGCCGCTGGCCCCTGGGGGGTTCCTGGCAGGGCTGTAGGTGGGTGGCGGTGGAGGCTGCTGTGGTGGTGGCTGTGGTGGTGGTGGCTGCTGTGGGGGGGGCTGTTGCTGGGGAGCCCGGTTGTAGCTGCCTCGGTTGTTGGAGTTGTTGTTGTCCCGGTTGTTGTTACCCCAGCGGTTCTGGTTGTAGCCACCACCTCCACTGCGGTTGAAACCTGCATTGGAGAAGCAGGTAAGAGGCCCCACTGTTCTCTGATTGGTTGAGAGCCTCAGGAGTCGGGCTGTCTTGGGGACTGCTGTGGCTCCAGTGACCATGCACAGAGCAGGTCCAGTAAACAAGTCAAGCACCCGCTCTGGCCTTCCCCAGAGCCCTGGGAGCGCCCAGTCATCAAGGCCTGCTGACAGGTTTGTTCTGCCCATTGGACTGTGGGCCTGGAACCAGAGCTGCTAGGTTTCCACTGTCTCCCCAACATCTAAGTGCTTAGCCAAATGAGCCAGCCTCTCCCGAGCCTTTGGCCCAGAACCCTTTTCCCCAACCCATTCCTGCTGGCTTCAGGACCTTAGCTTAGGCATTAGCACTTCTGGGGGCCTTTCCTGAGCCCTGCTCCCTTGCAGGCTGAATCACTGGAGCTCACTGTACCCCTGGGGTTTCCCATTCAGCCCAGCATCCTTCTGGACTGTCACTAAAGGGTGACAGTGTGTGGGTCATGGCTCCGTACCCTAAACCATCCAACATAAGACTAAAACAGAGTAGGGCATGCTTATTAAAATCATGACCATACACTTCAGAGGCAGCATAACTTAGTGACTAAGAACTTGGGCTTTGGATCCATCACTTGATACCAACCACAGATTCACCTGGGTCAATCGAGCAAATTAATCTCTCCAAGCCTGTTTCTGCATTTGTTTTAGAAGCAAAAAACTGTCCTAATATTTGCCTTGTGCCAGGTCCTGGGACCCAGGACTGGCCCCTCTTCTCAAGGAGCTCATGGTCAGATGAGGGGTCGGAAAGACTCACAAAAGTAATAGTAATGTGACACACAAATGGGCAAGGCCTTCAGGGGTAATACTGGTGGGGGGTGGGGGGGGACAGCAGGGAAGAGATGACAGTGGGAGTTTCCCTGAGGCCCCACACTTTGATTTATCTCAGTTCCCTACCAGGGCTCAGCCCACAGCTGGTGCCAAGGAAATGTCATCTGCTGACTGAGGAAGCAGTCAACCCTGACCCCGGAACCACAAGTAGGAGAGTTCATTGTGAGATGCCTCACCTCCTCGGTAGTTGCCTCCTCCACTGCTGCCTCCTCCTCGATTTTGGAAGCCTCCTCGGTTGCCCCCTGGGGGCCCTCGGTTGTCAAAGCGCTGGAAACCGCCGCCACCCCCGCGGCCCCGGAAGCCGCCCCCGCCCCGGCTGTCAAAGCGCTTCTCAGGCGGCGGGCCGGCCCTGCGGCCCTCCTCGTTGTACTGCCTCACCAGCTTGTCTGCCTCCTCTCTCTGCAGCTCGATGAACAGCACCTCGTCCAGGAAGTCCCCGACATCGGGCAACGTGAAGTTGGCTAGGAGGAAGGGAGGGTGCCAGAGGGACAGGAAAGGCAGTTAGTACCTTCCGAGGGTCAGTCTCCTTCACCCCCACGACACTGGTCTGCCAGAAGGGAGGAGAAGTAGGGGACCACAGTGTGAGCAAGAGGAGAGAGGGTCCCAAGCTGTGCCTCCCTGACAACAATCAGGGGCTAACAATGACCCTCTTCTTTTTCTGAAGAGGTGACTAAGCTCCACCAAACCAGTGTTTGATACCCCAGGGAACAGGCCAGACAAGGGGAATCACCATCCTTGTTTTTTATGGAGAAGCCTCACTGAGGCTTGCTCAGCCAGCCCACCCAGTGGGTGCCAGAGGCAGAAGAACATGCGGGTCTCTAGCATCTGTTTCCACACACCCTCTCCCGCATCCTGCCCAAGCCCCATCTAATCTGAAAAGCCTGCCCCCACAGGGATATGGGCAGCTCTTCCAGTTACAGCTGTACTACACAGGCAAGGGACAAAGCAAAAGCAAAGAAATAACAAAATCAAAAAAAGAATACTCAAGGAGCTGGGCGGGAAAAACGGGATAAGGCACTTTTCCCCTTAAGGGCCTTGCCACGATGTCCCTCTGGGAACTGCTCATCTCCTACCTTTCATTTCTAAGACCGCGTGATCTGGGACATCCTTCCCTTCTTCGTCAGTTCGCTTTATGGTTCGGTCTTTCAGGTCCTCGTCAGTGGGACAAATTACAATAGCTTTGCGCTGGAAGCCTTCAAATGGTCTCATTTTTCGCCTCTGGGCTGACCCATAAACATTTGTCTAGGGGTAGGTATCAGAAGAGGCAAGAGGTGGCACATTACAAGTTGGTTTCTCCTCTGTGGGGTATTATGTGGGCTAGAGAGTGAGAAAAGGACACCAGTTCTCCTAAGCAGAGAAACTCAGGAAAATGCTCCTTCTTCACTTCTAAGATTCTTGAATCTACCCTCAGAAAACGAAGTGACTTGAAAAGTGGCTGCTGACAGTCATAGGACAGGAGATTCCTAATGTCTGGGCTCTGCTTTTTAATCCCATTTGTTCTTGGTATTGTACATTACAGCTCTCTTGGCTCCTATTCTAAAAGTAGCATATCCTTACCATAAAAAAAATTCAGAGTACAAGGTGTAAAGTGTAGAGTAAGAAGCCTCTCATCCACCTACTGCTACTATTCCTACTTCCCAGAGATGACCTGTATTGAATTTCTTATGTATTTTTAGAAACATCTGTGTGATTCTTAAAACCAATGGACTCAAACAACACACACTCTCTGGAAGCCTTTTTATCACTCAACATTTATCATTTTTCTGTGCTGGTGCTCTCCCTTGTTTTGGCCATGCTGTGCAGCTTGCATGATCTTAAGTTCGCCGACCAGGGATTGAACCCCAGCCCTAGGAAGCAAAAGCACCACGTCCTAACCACTGAACCGCCAGGGAACTCCCTGGTTTCTCCTTTATTCTTTGTAGAACAGATGCTGTAATTAGCCAGCCCCTTTGACAGTTGTGTAGATCATTTTCATCAACAATGTGGTTCTTTTATCCCCTTAGTCCTGATCTGAAACACCAGCTGCACCCACAAGCTTCTAAACTAGGGTGCTTGACAAGCCAATAGCTTGTGCTGTTTGCAAGTGCAGTTTTGCTAATAACCTTCTCTTTGCTTCTTCTAAGTGATGGTTAGGTGCGTCCTGGGCTGGTGCTGGCAGAGAGCAGTGCTCTAAGACACACCTGATTGAGAGCACAACGGCTTCCATTCACTGTGTACCTCCTACATGCTGGGCCCTTTGGGACTGGGGCCCAGATCTATCAAACCCCAGTGGTCCAAGGACTCAGCCTAGGGACCTGAATCACTTGGACACACTGAGACAGCAGCTGGAACCCCCCTATAGGGGTCCTCCTCAACCCCAGTCCCTGGAGTGGGGCCCAGACACATACGGGTGTCCTTTTCACACAACAGAGCTGGAATGATAAGGAATACTGCATTTAAAAAACTTTCAGTGGCCCGGAAAGGTTATCAGGGGAGAAGCCACAGAGGGAAACAAACCTGTAAAGAGGCCTGCATCCACAAACAGACAAACAAATGTTATGTTTTGAAGATGCAGCCTAGTGGGGTGGAAAAAGCCCAGTATCAAGTATCCAGTGTGGCTACTCGCTCACCATGGCCAGTCCGTGTTGCTTCATCCATGAAATGCAGGAGAAAAGCCTCTCTCCTGGACTTGGTGAAGACTGAGCGGAAAAAGGACCACAAAGCATCTAACCATATGAGGGATCCCTGAAGTAGGGGCTCTGTTGTGGCCTCCAGGATGGAAGCTGCCCAGACAGAGGCCAGTGGTGCAGAGCAGAGGCTTGGCACACCCTGGATCTAATGTGACCTGGTCAAGTCACACCACAGGGCCCTGAGGGTGTGACTTCCTCTCAGAGCCTCAGTCTGCCTATCTACTAAGTCTCAAACCCTGAAAGGGGAAAATAAGAGGAAAATCATATGGTCACTACTAAGACTGAAGGAGCTCAGGCAAGTAAAGCCCTTGCTTAGTCCAGGGTCTGGCTCACAGCTGACACTCAACAAACAGAGGTCATGGTTGCTGTGAGGTGGCTATCACTGGGCGGGCTGCACTGGCTCTTCTCGCTGTATGGTTGAGTTCAAGCAACCCGGACCAGGCGAAGGTCAAGCTACGGTGATTTCCCATCAGAAGGGCAGGAACGGTGAATCAGGGTGGAAATCTAGGCTCTGGGGAAGAGGCTCGAGGTTGAAATTGCAGCTGTGCCCTCTATTTGTGAGGATGTAGACAAGCCACCTAATTAGTCTGAGTCTCAAATTTCTGCATCTGAAAGACAGAGATCCTATCACCCTCCCCCTGGCTCTGGTGGGAATTTGCAGATGTGGAAATGTCTGGCAGAGAAAGAAGTCTGAAATTGGGGCCAGTAGGACTGACGCTGTCCTGGGGAGGCTTCCCAATAGGGAGCATCAAGGAAAGTTAAGTTTGAGGAGAAGATGAAACACAAGAGAGCCTATTCCAAAAACATGAGGAACAGAAGCTGGGATGTGGGTCAGCCAGAGGCCAGGGACCACAGTGCACACCTGTTGGGAGATCTGGTTGTGGGTGTAACTGTTCTCTAAACCAACCTGACCCCATGGCTCTGACACACAGCATTTAGAGGGTCTTCCTTGTTCTCTAGGGAAAATATCTCAACCTTCATTGGGGGTGGGGTGAAGGCATACACGTGTATGCCATACATCTGCGCCGTGAGCCACACAAATGGTGAAAAAGCACAATGGTTACAAAGGAAAAGTCAAGTCCTTCTCCTCGATGCTCTTCATAGGTTCCATTCCTAAAAGCGAATCAGGTGGCCTCTGGTCATTGGAAGACAGAATTTGACTTCCAGCTAAATAATGAAGCTTCTGCCTGGCACATAACCCAGACGGGTGGGTGTCAGGATTGAGTGTGGCCCCAGACATTCTGTGGACAACTGATTCCACTGTTTGCTTGCCCATAAGAAATGATCAGCAATCCTATTCTGATTCCTCTGAACCTCAAGGACGTGGATAAACGCCTCTTGGAGGTTTTCTATGAAGCAGACCTGCCCTGTCCATGTCCGGATGAAGAGACAGAGAAGAGAAGCATTGCTGTCCAGAGGGGCCAGTCCCCACAGCTTCTTGATGGGAGGGAGGGGGAAGAGCAGACGGGACTCCTCAACAGCTGGCCTCTGTCCTGGGAAGAGGCGAGACACTGAGGGATGGCTCCTCAGACACTTTAGAGCTGAGGTGCTGAGAACCCTCGTGGTGACAGTTTTGAAGACTGCACCTCCCTCCCCTCACTCCTTGGCTTGGGGAAAGGAAGAAGAGCATCTAAGCCACACCAGCAAAAATGCAAATACTTGGCTTTCCTAGAGGGAAGGGAGTTAGCTGTTGGTGGCTGTTGCCACAGCAAACACAGTGAGGTCAGAGCCCCTGGGCTGGCCCGGCATTGCTGTGGTCACTGGGGGCTGCTGGTGGCTGTTGCTAGGAGACCAACACAACAGCTAGGTCAGCTTTTCCAGCTGTGAGGGCTCCTGCTGCCTCGTTCCTGCTTCTCTCAGTCCCACCCTGCTTGGAGATGCTGACTTGAAGGAGGTCTGGGGCTGTCTGTGTTCCCTGGCCTCCTGGCTACTCCCATTCCTCTGTGATGTGGGCCAAAGGACAGGGGTTGGGTTTCTCAGAGCAGCTGCCTGTGTAGTTTTGGTGTGTGACAGTCTGGGGCAGGCAGGAGGGAACAAAACAGGCTGCTCACAGCCTGAAATCTCTGAGAGACACGGTCTCCTGTCAACTGTCCCCCTTCTACAACTCAACAAGATCAGGCTGGCAGCAGGAGAAACATGCGTGAATCCCACAGAAGCAAGCTTAAATTGTTGACCGAAGAGTTCACTCTGGGCTCAGCGTGAGGTAAACCCAGTAGAATGAACCACGTGTGCAGACACAGAACTGGCTAGTGTCAACAATGGAATGGGCTGAGGTTCTGGGGTTGGGGAGGATAGAAGAAACACCCTCTTCTCCCATGCCTGTCCACAAGAGGCAGTTTACGTTGGGTCCCCACAGTAGCCTGGGTCTCTGTTTCAGGCAAAGGCATGGCACCTGCCCACAGGGATGCTAAGCAGGAGCACAACCACCTTGAGTTGAGGCAAGGTTAATGACGCTGTCCTATCGTAGCCTCCGATCATTTGCCTGGCCTGGCTCTGGGTTGCTGGATTCCTAAGAGAACTCCTAGCCTCAGACCTCAACTCTGGGAGTGGCCTAGGCTCTTCATAGAAGCCTCTAGGAGGGCAGGTCTGCTGTCTCACCGAGGCCAGCTCTTGCTCTGCATCTGGTAGGCCAGGGAGAGGCCAGGCAGTCTCCCATTCCAGAGGATTCCCATTGACAACAGAGGACCCAAAAGAGCCACTTGAAGCAATGTGGCCTACCGCTACTTTTTCTCCTCAGCTGTTCCACAGCTCTGATACCCACAGGATCTGAAGAGGACACTCAGGTCACCACGGAACAAAAGCAAAAGACACATCCCCACCTCGAAACCTGGCCTTTCCTGGCTTCTGCGGGCACATTCCCCTCTCAAGAAGGGGCATTTCTGGGGTCAAACTAGGTACCAGGAAACCCAGAAAACCCAGAGGTGGGGAGGTCAGACCACTCAGGAAAAACCAGAGAAAGAAAAAGACAGCGCTGGGCTGAGATCCAGAGACTGCAGGGACTCTGCCTGCAGTCCCAATCCTGGCTCTGGGAACCCCATCTAACTTAGGAGTCAGCTGCACATCGACCTACCCCTCATTGCCAAGGTTGGTGGGGGAGGAAATGCCAGGATCTGGCCTGGAGCCTGCTTTGAATCTTCTACACACACATCTACCCACACAGGCTTTTCTGGAATACCCTTTTTGATGTTTAAGCCAAAACAGGTCAAACCACTGGCTTCAGACCTCTTTCCAGGCCTCAGTAACCTCTGGTTTGGGGCCCCAAGTCAATCCTCCAATCTGTGGTGAGCCAGAGAACCCTCTTCCGCACCCCACCCCACCTTCAGAGTTTGTGTTCTGTTGCCTTGCTGTTGGCCTGGAGCACTTGGCCTGACCTGCATGTTCCTTCACCAGGAGGCCAGCAGCCCTGGAGACCACAGGGGCACCTGGAGAAGCCCTGGACCCTGTCCCGAGCGAACCGGCACAAGCCGAGAGGGCCAACAGTGAGTCTTTAGTGTCCCGCAGTTCTGTGCCTGGCTGAGGGGTTGGGGGCCTGACCTTCAGAGAAAGCACATTTTGCAATGTTGGACGGAGATGTTCAGACAATTTACCCCTTGGATTATAAACATTTTAGACCATGTTCTTTTCTCTATATGTGAAATGGGTTTCACAGCTGATTTAACTTAACAAACTGGGAAAAAGGGAGGCAGAGAACACTTGTATCCAAAAAAATAATTCTCAAGGTATGGACTACAATTCCAAAATGCCCTGACAAGAAATGGGGCAAGGTGACGCCAGGGTTAATTTAAACGAAGTCTTCAAAGTGGAAGAAGGCTGGCTGTACCCATTATTGATGGGGCTGGGCTGGGGCAGCAACCCTGAGTGGCTCTTGGACTACCCTGTGCCCTTCCCCCATAAATGCAGTCTAAACATCGGCCCAATTAGTTGTTTTATCAAAATTTAGTATTATGGGATCATGTCTGTCTTCACAAATGTGAGTCTTTAGGGCTTAATCTCAGGGTTGCAGCATTGGTCACGAGATAAAAGTACACCTTTCCAGGGAACTCCTTGCTGATCCAGTGGATAAAACTCCACATTTCCATTTCCACTGTGTGTGCGGGGGTGGGGGGTGGGGAAAGAGCGCATTTGATCCTTGGGGAACTAAGAACCCCCCCATGCTGCACAGTGCGGCCAAAAGAAAAAAAAAAAAACACTTATAAAAAAATTTAAAAGTACACCGTTTTCATGTTCACCTTCCAGAAAAGCAGAACCCAGTGTAAATCTTGTATCTCCACCATGACAGAAGAGTATCAACAGTATCGCAGTCTTGCCAACTTTCAGTTTTCTAGTGTAACTATTTCACCAGCAAACCAGATTTCCATTCTCAGTAGTTAACTGGCGAGACTGTGTAATTTACCTGTCATGGAGAACCATCACCAACTAGTAGTCTTTTTTTGTCTTAAGTTCTGTGTGTTCCTTTCAAAGGTTGGATGTTAAGGAATCAATTTTTCAACTCTGAACACTAGATTACCAGTGTATTATAAAAGGATATAATGCAGGAACAACCTGATGGAACAGACGCAAAGGGCAAGCTATGTGGAACGTGCCACCCTCCCCGAATCTCCACTATTCACCAACCCAGAAGCTCTGGCTTGTTTTCTGTAAGATGTTCTCTCCTATACAAAAGCACCCTGATCTCTTGGGAGTTTCCAACCACCTTTCTTTTCTTTCTAAAAGGTTGTGAGTTAGTTGGATGAATAATGGATCTATCTATCTATCGCTGCTCCACATGGCTGTGGGATCTTAGTTCCTCCACCAGGAATTGAAAACAGGGGCCTCCTGCAGTGGAGTGCGGAGTCCTAATCACTGGACCACCAGGAATCCCATTCAACCACCTTTCTGATCAGTCAATCACTAAAGCCAGCTCCAACCTCACCAGGAGCCCTTTAAACTCATGGTAACCAAGTGCCCAGGGCCACACTCATGGAAGGCACTCCAGTTAAGGCTGCCAGGTCAGCAGTGCTACTTAGTTTATATATTTGCACACTTAGACAAAGCCTGCTACTTGAGAAAGACTTCAGGACAAATATCAAGGATGATGTCTCACACGTGGTACTAATGAGGAACTTTAACCGTTTGGGTCGATCATACTTTTAATGTGAAGAACCCTGCTCTTCACTGAAATGCAGGCAGAAAAATACATGACATATACAAGAAAATACATGACATACACATGTACTTGATAGTCATAAGAACATGCCAAGAGAGGCTGGGACAGACCCATTCTGTAGATTAACAACAATCTCCAGTTACTACACGCCAGTCTCCAAGTTAGGTGTGTGAGCACTTATTCTGAGCTCTGTTTTCCAGATCAGGAGACTTAACAGTCAAAGGATAAAGTCCACTGCCCATAGGCATGCAGCTAGCAAGTGGCAGAGCTGGGATTCAAGCCCAGGTCTGCTTGGCTCAGAAATCTAAGCTTTTCCATCTCACACAATTGCTCTCACCTGACAATATTCTTTTGGGCTGCTGGGGGCTTGAGCCAGGTCTGGATCGCTGCCCCCTGACCCCCTGGCAGACTGGACTCAGAAAGCTGTTTCAAGAGTCTGGGACTTTGCCACCACGTATAGCTGACCTCTGACCAATACTGTAGTCCAAGAGCATTACGGGAGAAAAAAAAAGGAGGAGAGAGGACTTCCTAGGTACCCAAAAGGCCCCTTCCCTCTCCTGGGGGACGATGGTCACCAGTAAGTACCTGATCTAGGATATAGTTGCGCTTCTTGCGGGCAGCAATCTGGATGAGACGGTTGAGGCACTGAGTGGCCTGCTGGATCAGGACATCCCAGCGGCCGGCGTAGTTTCGCTGACGGCGTAGGCCCATTACCTGTGGGCAGGGAGTGGTGAGGGGTGGGTGGGGGTCCTGTTTGCTAGGCAGCAGGCAGGGAGCAGGGGGGCGGGTAAAGAGAGAGAGGGGCTGTGCTTACCCGCATCTTATCCATGATGGCATTGGTACCCAGGATGTTGTACTTCTTGGAGGGGTTGGAGGCTGCATGTTTGATGGCCCACGTGGTTTTCCCAGCAGCGGGCAGGCCCACCATCATTAGAATCTACGAGAACAGGACCAAGAGGGGCACGGTGAACAGTGTGTACCACGGCAGCCTGGCATCACCACTCGCTGGGGACCCTGAGGGTAACTTTAAACCTCACAGCCATCTCTGGGAAATGGAAGCAGTTAACAGTGTCTACCTCACAGTATTGCTGTTGGGAGTGAAAGAGATGAGGGTTGTGAGACTTTCAGCAGAGGGCCTGCTGTTACCATGAATATTAACATTTCTGTTTAGGCAGCATTCAGGGGTGTCTGACAGGGAAAGGCCCACAGAATAGGCACAAGGAGAGGTACAACATTCCTGGAGTCTCAGATGGCGACAAATGTATGTGCAAGGACAAGCACCATTTCTAATTAGTATGTTTAAAATTTGGCAAACACTGGATGCAAGTGAAATGTCCAAGAAGAGGAAAATAGTTTGTGAGGCTACTAACAACGAATTTCAAAAAGGTGTTCACATAGTTAAGATAAAAGCACACCAAAAAATGTAAAGTGAAAGGGCAGGGTATCAAAATGCTTACTTATACTGTTAGATATCAATAATAAAATATGTGTAAAACTAGTACCTAATACAGAAAAAAGCATAGGATAAACTTCAAAACACTTAAAAGGAAACATCTGTAGATGGTGGAATTTTGGGAAACTCTCCTTTATATTTCCTTTATATTAATTTTCTAGAATAAACGCAAAATCACTTATACACCAGAAAAAACAAAAAAAATTATTTGAGAACCAAGACCAGGAGTACAGCTTTTGCGGCCGAATCAGCTCCAAGCCCAGGTGCCATTTTGGTTCTCAGACAGGCTTGGGCAGGAGTGTGGAGCCACACAACCTCCTCCAAGAACCTGCTCACCAGAAAGTGCCTTCGCATCCTTTTTCTGCTGGACGACCTCCTTTCTCAAGATTCTGACCTCACTCGAGGAGCACTGTGGCAACTTCTGGGATCTTTCTGGTATTTAGTTACGATAGCCCTGCCCTCTTTGGCCTAAGCCACGCCCACACCCCCTCACTCTCCCTGAAACTAGGCAGCTCCGCCACACTCAGCTGCGGGCAGGTCTCCTGTCTAGGCAGCAGCGTGGCTCTGCAGAGGCGGCCACCCAGGCAGGCTTCCAGGCTCCTCACCTCACACTCTGCCTTGCTCTTTGGTCCGACGGTGCCCCGGATGCGCTCACTCAGGGGAAGGTGCTGGATGAAGGTGAAGCCTGGCAGGACGGAACAGTAGGGCTCTGCCCGCTGCCCGAAATTGAACTCCACCGCACAGTTCTTCACCAGGACGTGAGGGTAGAGTGCCTGACCCCCTAAGGCTTCCTTCTGGATTCGGAAGGCAATGCCCATCCACTTCCCATTTTTGGTGAAGGAAAGCTCCACGTCATTTCCACATTCAAAGTCCTAGGGAAAAAAATCCAAAGAAAGGGAAGTTCCAATGCTCTGCATAAGGTACCAGGAACCATGAGTCAGGGAGCAGATGTAGGGGGTGGTAACAGCTTCGCCTCAGATTCAAGTGCAGCCCTCCTCAACATATAGATGCATCCGCCAGCCCCAAGGAATGGCTCAGACCATATACAGCCCAAGGCCCTCTTTGGCCATAACCCAGAAGTGGATATGAAGTGTGTAATTTTAGGAAGTTCCAAGTATTTGAGTCTTGTGCCTAGCCTGAGATGGAGAGAAAGCTGTCCTGTCCACTCTCAACTCCCACAAGATAATGGATGGGAAGAAATTCACAGCAGGGCCTGTTAAGCCAAGCCTGGCTCCACAAGTGCATCCATTTATATGTTCAACACGTGCTCCTCGAGTTCCTGCTCTTCTTGATGCATATTCTAGTCATCTGAGTCTGACAAGAGCTCAGAGCCTAGTGGGGAACCAGACAAGGACATTATCCTAAATCAGTGAGAACACACACGCAGGATCAAGATTCTCTGAGGAGGAACCTGTAAGCCAAGTCCTGAACAATAAACGGAAACGAGCCAAGTTTGGGGTGAGAGAAGACAGTCCTAAAGAGAAGTGATTATGTACAAATCTAGCAGTGAGAGGACACAGGGTCAGACTGGCTGAAGCATAAAGAACTGGGAGGTGGTAATTTCAGGTACAGGTGGACAGCTGGAAGGGACCATATTCATTAATTCGACAATTCATTGAGTCCTTACTGATCAGCTGAGGTTTAGTGTCAAGATCCTGTTTAGGAAGGTAGATGGCTTTAGTTCTACCATTTACTACATCTTCAGTTTCCTTATCAAAAAAGATTCCACAATATAGCAGAGTTATGCTAAAGACTAAACAGGTTAATGCATTTCCTACAGAATGAGAGCACGAGTGGGTGGTCTCACTCCCAGATGCCAGACACTGCTCTGGACTGAAGCATGGGGGTGGGGAAGGAGTTTGGATCTCTGCTGATGGCAGCAGAGCAGAGCCCCTGACTTGCTCCTAAGAGCAGAATTGCCTAGTCAAAACTGTGTTTCACAAAGATCACTTCAGCTGCAGGGCAAAGGTTAATAATTAAGGAAGACTCAAAATTTGGGGTCATACAGCAGACAGGAGCAAAGGCTGAGTTGTATTCTTTTCCCTCCTGCATGCAGAGACCATCTTGGGACTTGCCTTTGAGCAGCTGTGAAAGCCCCCTTCCCCCAAGGAGACTCCTCGCCACCCTCCTCCGTGGTCACAGGGCATAGTTCTACATGGTCCTTTGTGTCTGTAAGCGCCCATACAGGTAGAGATCATGCAGGGCAGACACACAAACAGCTGCTGGACTAAATCCTGCCTCAATCCCTGCAGTATGGTCCCTCCCGTATCTTCTCACCTGAGCAAGAATGGCCCAGGTCACTTTTGCTCTGTTGTGGAAATGAACATGACAGGGGCTAACCTTTTTTATGTCCACCAGCTTCACTATAGGAACTTACCTCACTGTATGGAAACCAGCACCCTCAACTGACAAACCCAGCACAACAGGGCCAACAGTCAAGGACACAAGTCTAATTGTGTCACTTCTGCTAAAATGTTCGTGGATGCCACTCCAGGGCCTAAGGACCCAAAGTCCTTAAGCCTGGCACTGTTCAAAGTGTGTGTTTTCACAGCCTCACCTCTCACACCTCTTTGTGCTGTTCCCGAGGCTCCAAGTATTTTATTCCTTATGATTTGCCGAAGTGAGTTATACTGTTCTCTCCACCTGGAAGGTCATTTGGTCCTGTTTTGTGAATGCCGAGAACTCAAGGTCTGACACAAATGTCCTCCCTACTCCCCCCTTCAGGTCACTGATTTTTCACACCCTTTCTTAACCCTTCGCTCTGAATCTTTTAAAGTGATGCCATCACTTCATGGCAAACAGATGGGTAAACAGTGGAAACAGTGACAGACTTTATTTTTTGGGGCTCCAAAATCACTGCAGATGGTGACTGCAGCCATGAAATTAGAAGACACTTGCTCCTTGGAAGCAAAGTTATGACCAACCTAGACAGCATATTAAAAAGCAGAGACATTACTTTGCCAACAAAGGTCCGTCTAGTCAAGGCTATGGTTTTTCCAGTAGTCATGTATAGATGTGAGAGTTGGACTATAAAGAAAGCTGAGGGCCAAAGAATGGATGCTTTTGAGCTGTGGTGTTGGAGAAGACTCTTGAGAGTCCCTTGGACTGCAAGGAGATCCAACCAGTCCATCCTAAAGGACATCAGTCGTGAATATTCATTGGAAGGACTAATGCTGAAGCTGAAACTCCAATACTTTGGCCACCTGATGTGAAGAACTGACTCATTTGAAAAGACCCTGATACTGGGAAAGACTGAAGGTGGGAGAAGAAGGGGACAAAAGAGGATGAGATGGTTGGATGGCATCACCGATTCAATGGACATGAGTTTGAGTAAACTCCGGGAGTTGGTGATGGACAGGGAGGCCTGGCATGCTGCAATCCATGGGGTTGCAGAGTCGGACATGAATGAGCAATTGAACTGAACTGAACTGATCCTTTAAACACAGGAAACTGAACAGAGTCAAGTCACGTGCTGATGACACATTAAACTGCTACAACCTCTCTGGAGTTGGAGTACAGTCTTCACAGTAGCTATCAAAAATTAAAACTATACCTCTGACTCAGAATTTATGCTTTCAGTAGCATATATCCTACAACTGTATGCCCGCAAGAATACAAGAATGTGCAAACTGTTCACTCCAACACTGCTAAATGTGCTCCAATGGGGAAGTGGGAGACTAAATCACACAGGACATCCATGAATGGGAACATGAAAAGCTCTCCAAGATACTCTGGTAAGTGGGAAATGATAAACTATCACTGCAGCATCAACTGTTCCAAGAAATAACTTTCAGGTCCACCAGGGGAAACTGACACCTACATCAGAATACTAGGAAGCCACTAAGTAAAACAATGAGAAATTAACCAAATATCTATTAAGAGAGGACCGATTATATAAATGTAGTAGATCAACACAATGACTGCAGACTATATAAAAGAACAAAGAAGTCCTCTAGGTAATGATATTTAAAAAAAAAACATCTAAGATATAGAGTTAAACAAAGAGATACAGAATAACATGTGTAATATGCTACCTTTTGTGTAGAAGAAAAAAAATAACAACCACCTTTGATAAAGAAATCCTGAGTACCAGTGGGTTCATGTGTAGGGGAGGGCATATGTGAACCATAGGTAGAGGGGAAGGGTCTGAAGAAGACTTTATACTGTATACCTTTCTGTATTTCTGAATATATTTGAAAACCATAAGAATTTATTAACTATCCAACAGTGTTTTAAATTGTGCTAGATTTATACTTTCTGTGCAGACAGGGGAAAGATAGCTGAGATTTACTGTTAAATTAAAAAAAAAAATGCAAGGTTTGGAACAGTGCACAGAATATAAACATGGTTAATTTTTATTCAAGAAAACATGCTTTTTATTAAAAAGATAATGAGGTCATGACTGACAAAGGAAGACTGAGAAATTGTTTTAGACTAAAAAGACATGACAAGAAAACGCAATCAGTGATCCTGGACTGGATCCTGAACTACAAACCAAATTGTGCTAAAGGATACTGCTGGGACAGCTGACAAAATTTAACTGTGGACTGTGGAGTAGATAATAGCATTAAATCAACATTAAATTTGATTACTGTGGTTAAGAGAATAGCTTTATTCTTAAGAAATGCATGCTAAAATATTAAGGAATAAAGACAGAAGGTAGGCATCTTACTCTCAAACAGGTATATATATGTATATAAAAATCATATACATACACATACATATATTTGTGAAAAATGGTAAAGCAAACTTTAGAATTTGGACAAGGTTCTTTGGAAATTCTTTCAAAGAGGGGAGAAAAAAAGACAGACAGAAAAAAAAAAAAAAAAAGAGTACCTTGTACATAACTATGAGGGAAAGAGGGAGAAGGGAGAGGGAACCGGGCCAAGAGGAAGCACTCGCCTGGCCAGCCACTCTCCTGGGGGTGCATGGCATATCCTTAAGACATTTAACTTCCAATGGTCACAGTGTTAAAGAGTATTTCCTGAGATTCATTCTCTGCCAGACACTGTTGTAAGTGCTTCTAACAGTTTTAATGACACTACATGAAATTCTGAGGTAGGTGTGAGAATTCTCACTGAGAGGAAACTGAAACACAGGGAGGGCAGCCTGTCCAGGGCTATGAGCTGAAAAGCAGGGACTGGGTCTGGGGCTAGGGATTCCAGCCCTAGAACCATCAGTCACACTCTACACCTCTGTGAGTGCTGGTCACTGCTCTTAGAGACTAAAGTTCAGCAGCAGTTCAGGTCTCTTCTATCTTGTTCTGTTTTTTTGCATCCATCCCATCCTCCTAAAAGGCAATGCACTATTGGAAGCCTGGCTAAACCAATGAGGTGAAGGAAGGGAGAAGATCTGGAATGAGATGATGCTAAAGTGGGGGCAAGAGCCAACACCACTGCCCTTGAGAACAGATAGGCTATTCCATGGGCTTCCCAGGTGGTGCTGATGCTGAAGAATTTGACTGTCAACGCAGGAGACACAAGAGACAAGGGTCTGATTCCTGGATCAGGAAGATCCCCTGGAGAAAGAAATGGCAACCCGCTCCAGTATTCTTGGGAGAAAATTCCATGGATAGAGGAGCCTGGCAGGCCACATTCCATGGGCCTGAAAAGATTCGGACACAATTGAGCACCTGTGCATGCAGACTATTCCATAGCAAAGGGAAGTAATTCCTTAGTTTGCTTAGGAAATGTCACTCTGGTATCTAGGAGTTGTACACGTCTGACATTCCCAAACATCTTCAGGATGCCATCTGAGGACTTTGCACAAAAGACCAGGGGGGAAGAATGGCAGAATTCTGCACAAAATGACCACAAACATTTCAGTGTGTCAAAGAGAAACAGAGGTATGGCGAGAGCGGCTGGACAAAAGCGCAGACAACGGACAGAGGTATTCTGAGAAAAACGTTGCAGGCTGACCTCACAGGACCAACATTTGGTTCTCTCAACTCCCACGGGCTGCCAGCACTCACCGCAAAGCAGCCAATTACATCATTCTCTGCAAACTTGTCTCCATAGTTTTCAAAGCGACTATTGGTGGACTTCTTCCCAGTGCCTCCATAGCCATAGGAGAAAGGCTCTTCACCTGAGGGAAGAAACAGGCAAAGTCAGGTTAAACCTGTGCTGGTCACAATGGCCTTTATGGCTGTTACATAGTTTTAAATTAAAACAAATAAAAGAAACATTTTCTTTGCCAGTTTTACTAATCAGGTGCTTTTGGGGGAGAAGGTAAGAAAGTTTCCATTGAAAGAAAGCCCTTCACCATGCAGAGTTTCTGAGGGTTTGATGGCTTTAGGTGTTAAGTCTGAGAGTTTAAGCTGACCTAAACTGCTTTGAACAGAAAGGGAGAACTGGGGAAAAAAGGGAGGAGGGAAGAGAGAAGCCAGGATGGAGGAAGGCTGTACACTAAGGCACATTTCTTCCCTGTGACATTCAACATTCAGTTAAGTCTCCTAACAGTGTCTGTTTTTGGTGTCAGTGAGTTTTGGTCAGAAATCAGTAAAGAGGTTTTGCTTCTGCAGACCACGAGGTCTAACCCGTAAGAAAGGTACTGATTGCCTCAGGCTACACAACTGGGTTCTGAAGCAAGATGACTGAGACCCCAAGGGCCCTGGCTAACATCTGAGTTACAGAGATATTAGGCCAGAAACCTAAGTTCTGCCAGTAAAGCAGGCGCCAACAAGCATGAATTCCAGGCCCAGCTCTAGCCTGAATCAGCTGTGTAACCTGGACATCTGCTTGACTGTTCTGGGCTTTACATGTTTATCTGTATCAACTATTCTCCATTTACCTCTCAAAACTGAAACAAAGATAAAAGGAGATGACATGAATCTTAAATAAAACTACTAATACACATCAAAATGAAAACTACACTGCTTTTAACCTACCATTTCTACTTTTACAGCTCAGACTAATTACATACAAGGAGAGCTCAAGTGTTTTACTATAAAAATTTGTAATCAACATAAATCACCTACAAAACATTTATAAATAGGTAATACAATTATAAAATGAAAAGTTATGCAGTATTCAAAAAACCTATACTTATTTACAAAAATATAACCATCAATATTAAGTGGGAAAAAGCAGTCAGGCTACAAAAAAGTTCTATAACATATCCCATTTGAAATAAACAAAGGACAAAAGAACTGCCTGGAAGAATGCAGATGAAAATGTTAACACTGGTCATTATCTCACAGGTTTAGAGGAATTTTCATTTCCCCCTCTCTGTAATGGCCTGAATTTTCACAAGGAGCAGACGTTATTTTCAATCAGAATCTTTACACGATCAAGAAAGTCTCACCATGGGTCACTGAAATCAGTCACCTGGGGCCAGAAAGTCATTAGGACCTGGGGAATCTGTGAAAATTCAAAACCTCTCAAGACAGCCCCTTCCTGCCTCTCTCCACCAGCCAGCCCTGGCCCCACTGGTCTTTGCTTTCTCTTTTACTCTGGGTTACGCTCTGGACAGAAGATTCCAGACAGAACGCAATGAAAGCTGAGGACCTTATTACTTTCACAATGGTTTGAGAACAGGAGACAACTGGTCTTTTTTTTTGTTTGTTTTTTTAAAGGGAGCAGTTTTCTGAAGAGAACTTTGGACCCTGTTCTTAAAGATGAAGGATACATTTTTTGTAGAAAAGCTGTTGTAGGACTGTGGTCCTTCCAGTTGAACCCTGTAAGTCTGAAGCTAGGCAGCACCACAAACCTAATCCCTGTTGTCTATTCCACCCCAGGGTAGTTCTGATCTGGGTCCAATGCGGGAGACAGAAGCTGAGGATGCTTGAGAATCCAGGGATCAAGGCACCTGCTCTACTCTCTGGATTGCTTGGCTGACCTCTCTTACCTAGCTGAGTGCTGCAGGAGTCCAGGGACCAACCAATGCGGACCACATGTGGGTCGGGCTCTGTAGATGGAAGGTGCTTCACAGAGATTTCTTCATTGATCTGGGGACAGAGAAAAAGAAGGCTCAGAACTGATTCTCTGAGGCTGACAGTTTAGAAAGCAAAACAGGTGAGAAGTGCACAGATGTTAAAAAAACAGGAATGGCTTCTGTGGCTGGGGAAATGTATCTGAGCTGTGTGAAGGGCCAGCTATACTGAAACCAGGGCCTCCAGAAGGCTCAGGCGAGTTCAGGGCCACAGAGATGGGAATTCAAAAACTAGTTATTTTTTAGCTTTAATACTTGCTACAAGGCAAACAGGGACTCACAATATTTGGTGTGGAAATATAAATTGGTGTAATGTCTTTGGGGGGCAACTTAGCAGTCTTATTATTAACAGCAAATGCACATGCTCTAAAACCAAGCAATTCAACTTCCAGTCTATCCTAGAGATATATACACACAAAAATATGTAGTGTGGTGGTCTTTATGTTGAAAAGGAAGGAAGAAGAGAGGGGAAGAGGAAGAAAGAAAAAAACCATCTGTAAAGTACTAGTCACATGAAGGCACATCCATGCCACAGAATGATGCAGCACTTAAAAAGAATGAAGCAGGGCTAATACACTGGTACAAAAAACTGTTCAAGTTATAGTATTAAGTAAAAGGAGCAGAAAAAAAAAGGCACCTCCTGACTTAACTTTTAATTAGCAGTTAGATTATCTAATAACCAATACTTATTAATTTGAGACTTTTGGAAACTTACTCTAATAACTTTTGGACACACGTTTTTCACATTTTAACATCTCGAATCAGTATATATCTTACAATTGATGTCTGAAAGTACTATGTTAGGATAACTGGCAGTTTCTCTAGGCACACTAAACAATGCAACTTAGAATCAAGTATCTTAGTCAGTCAAAAACGAAAACCCTTGGTCTTGGTTTCCACCTCTTGAAAAGGGGGGATAAGAGTACATATTTTGTGATGAGACTGTGAGGATTAATGGAGATATCCATGGAAAGAACTTGGCACTCTACCTAGCACATGCAAAGTATTCTATAGATATTAGCTATCATAAATAAGTTTGGATATACAAAGTATACACAAGAAACTGTTAACACATAAGGTATCTCTAGAGGGTAGGATAGGGGCTGGGAGGATGTGAAGAAGGTTTTTACTCTTCTGTGCTATCTGACCTTTTACTGAACATGATCTGGTATTATTTTCATAAATACACTTTGACGCGGAACTGTAGAGAGATAATGGTAGAGGGTATCCGGATAGCAGAACCTTTCTTTGCCCCACTCTCGCCTTGCCTCCCTTTAACTGGCCAGGGCCAATTCTTTCCAGCTCACCATTCTTCCAAACAACTCCTTTCCCCAGCTCTACAAACATGTCACCCTCAAATGGCTGGCTATACAGCACCTAGGTCAAACCCCGTCAAGGAAAAAATCCGCTTAATGAAGCAACGTATGGTCACCTTGCTTTCCCCATGTAATATTTAGCAATGACACAGTTCTCCTGAGTTCATTTTACTTTTTCTTTGGCCTGAACATAAAATTCATGTTTAATCAAATCTTTTTTGCAATCATGGCTCTGACCAAGGATGGACCTGCTTTCTCTCCCCATCCCTCTGTTGTTCCCACTCACCTTCATCTCAAAGCACACACGGCCCCTTCTGACCCCATAGCTGGCACGGGCTCCTGACCACAGGTATGCAAAACCTTCAATCGTGAGCGGGTAGCCACTACTCCGGTCTCGGGCCACCTTGAAATGGAGGTCGCAGTTATCTGTGGAGGAAAAAGCCTGTAGTTGGCTGATGTTTTAATGGTCCCCAGAGGGACAGGCAGAGGTAAGTTTCCACAGAGTGTTAACCAAGTACACAAGCTGACATGCTGTGGGGACACATTCCTGAGAAACCAGCCACACCACCTCGCCATTCTCTCTTTTGGGACAAACGCCCTGCAATACTGCAAACTGGACTGCACAGGATGAAAGCTGCCACTCCACATAGGAACTAGGGTTCTTCACCTGGCTGGGGTCCAAGGATGGCTGCCAAGGGGGCTCCCGCAAATAATACACACATGCCTCTAATGGGGCTAGTGGTAAAGAACCCGCGTGCCAGTGCAGGAGACATAAGAGCGGTGGGTTCAATCTCCGGGTCTGAAAGATCCCTTGGAGGAGGGCATGGCAATCCACTCCAGTATTTCAGTTTGGAGAATCCCATGGACAGAGGAGCCTACAGTCCATAGGGCTACAGTCCATAGGGTCACGAAGAGTCGGACACAACTGAAGTGACTTAGCACGTACCCTTGTTAGGGAGAGGGTCAATATCCTTTCAAGTGATTCTAGAATTTAAGGTTACTCTCAAGTGATTTTAGAATTTAGCAAAGATTAACTCCCAACACCATAAAGGTCAACCATCTGCCATGCTAACTCTTATCAGTGTGAGATATCAGTCAGACTCCTGCTGCCAGGAGCTGCACAAACAGCTGACCCTGATCCACAGCCACCACCCAGGACCACTGTCAGGAGCACCACAGGCTCCCAGCTCCTCACTCGGGCCTAGGATTCTGTGGCTCAGACTCTCTCCACTCTTCCAGGAGCCATTTACGTCTCCAGGAAAGTCTTTCCTGCCTGTCTCGTCCAGTAGGCTCTCTCCTTTCTCTAAAGGCTGAGTACCATGGTCTGTATATTTGGCATTTAATCAGATGCTGTTTCATGAACCACTGCCACCCAATACTTAAAATTTTAATGCTCACTTTTACTCTGAATCCTTAGAATCCTGTGGTAAAAGGGACTGTATACGAGATGTCTTTACCTCTTTTAAAGCATGTAGCCATTGGTTTATCAACGTGAGCTATGTAAGTAAGTACACGAATGAACAGCTATTAACTTTCTGCTCAGTTGAAAAGTGCAGTCCTCAGACCTAACTGGGCTTCTGGGTGTGTTCAAAAATTCAGATTCACAGGCTCTACCACTTAAGAGTTTACCTGAGGAGGGACAGGACCTCTACATTTGTTCCCCTAAGTATTTAGATGCACGGTCAAGGGGGAAGTCACTTATCTAGAGAAAACAAAACTGAACTGGGGGATAGAGAGGGCAGGGCAGGCCAGGTTAACGTCTGAGGAGACGAGGCAGCATTGGTTTCACCAGGAACGTGAGCAGTTGATGGAAACTGGGGAAATGGCTGTCAAAGAGTTAAGTTTCTCCAGCAGCACTCAGGTTCCTTTCTTGATTAGATGGCAACTTTACAGGGTGTTCAGGGTTTTCCAATTTGCTCTCTGATGAATGTCACTGCAAGTCCCTTGAGGTGTAAGAGCAGGGTTCTTCCTCTCTGAAGAGAAGCTTAGAGAAGCAGAATGACTTGACCAGAATCTCACAGATAGAGCTGAAGTAAATCTTCTGTCTCCAAACCAACACCCTGACTCCAGGGATCTGCTATTTCTCACATCTGAACTAACACTGCTCTGGACGGTGCCAGGTGGGGATTTTGTGAAGGCAAAGGCAGTTTCCTTACACTGACTGAAGACAGTACTAAATAGGCACTCCAAGGACTCACATGTGTCAATGGCCACAAGCGTGTCGTCAAAGTCATCTTCATCCTCTTCAGCCGGAGGCTGAGGAGATCGCCCCCTGTGTCATAAACAGGTATCAGTCACAGGAGAACAGACGGACAAGGAAAGAAGGGACCTCAAGGTTCTGTTGGAATTTACAAGTGGCCTCCAAGCTGCTTCCTGGATTTCAAGTTCTTCCCAAAGAGGTTAGCAAAAGAACTGTGGAACTCTACATCCTTGCAATGAGAGCAATGACTAACTACCAGGGCAGGGTCAGGGACTGGAGAGTGTGTGCTCTGCTAAAGAGGGCCATGAGAATCATTAAAAGAACTTTTAAAAAAAATACGACTCTCACCCTCAGATTCTGATCCACCCCTCTACATGCTGAACACTGCCTTCACACTGAACTTTGCTACTGATGGGAGGTTACAGTAGCCCAAAGGGTACTGGGCCAGGAAGGGCAATCTGTAAGAATTTGGATAAACCTGTTATTATAATCTGTCCATATTCCAGGCTTCCCAAAACTCCACATCTGAAAGGATTTGAAATGACCCATTTTTTGTCTTCTCTTTTAAAAGTGTCCTAAATCATGAACAAAATTTTATTCCGACCAAAATACTAAAAGGGACTATGTGAAAATACTGGCTGTTTCCAACATATGGGAATAAGAGAAAGGGGTAGAAGTGTGGAGTCTAATGCATAGGGTCCTTCCTGGGACAGTCTGGATGACCTCAGTCTACCATATGCTCAGGTCAAGTCATACGCAGGGCAGTGGGGCAAAACACTAAAAAGGCAGGCTGGCATCTCACATGTGAATGGCAAGGTGTTTGAACTTCATTCTTTAAATAATGGGAAGGGAGAAGCTGAGGGAAAGATCTGAACTTTAGCGAACCTGAATCTGCAGTGGGTGCAGGAAGAACTGGGGGAGAGAGAGGGCAGCAAGACCTCAGCTCTGCCCTCTCGGCTAGTAAACAGACCCAGTGGGCACTGAGCTACAGACAATGAGACCTACTGGAAAAAGGAGGACCACCGCCTCACAGACCCACCTCCTATCCTCTCGGTGCTCAAAGTACCCTCGTCCCCGGTTTTCTTCGTAAGGCCTCTTGCGACTCTGGAACTGCTGTCTGTCTGGTTTGTGTTGAGATGCTTCGGGTGGGAGGAAGCTGGTGGGTGCTTCTTGCTTCATCTCTGTCTTCACTTCTATAGTCAGGACAAATCCAGATGGTTAAGACAAGTTATCACTTTTCTGGTCCCCTCTACTTCCGGAGATACTGGCAGGATCCTGACTATGGTGGTGAAGGTCTGGGCCCAGGCTCTTGCTAGGTTCAGTGGAAGCCTGCAGAGGGAGCCTAAAAGGCTGTACTGGAGGACAGGGCTAGAATAAAGAGAGGCTGGGGATGGCCATCCAGGCCCAGCAGCACCAGCAGTTGATAGGGTGAGAAATGTCAGTCAGATAATTCTCAGGCTTCATGGAGAGGAGAGGGGACTTCAGCACTAAACAAGGAGAAGCTCTCTAAGGGCCTAATCAAAGGCGAATGACTGCCTGGGCTTCCTTGCCAAAGGCAAGGTAAAGCTGGGAAAGTTGGGAGCTACCATCGAGACTACCAAGTAGGAGGGAGCCCTAAAAGACTTCTACCGTTTCACAATTCTGCATTCTATAATTTCTTCTCCCAAAGAATCTCTTCACTTCAATTCTTACAGAGCTTCTTCAGTCTAGCAATGGAGGGGAAAGTCAGTTCAGCAGTGCTGTGGTCCCCCACCTAACTCCATAGGCTTTAACCACTATTACAAAGCCCAGAAGTGCTCCAGAAGGGAGGGGGTCTGTGTATAAGCCAGCCCATAGGTGGGATGGCCTCATTAAATCACACCACAAATAGGAAGTCAGGATGGGATAACACGCTGTGGACCACAGGAATGTCCCATGCTCAGACAGATTCCAAGAACCCGTGCCTACCAAGAGAAAACTGTGGATTCAGACTCACCTCATCTAAGGATGCTGTGGATCACTCACATCACATCTACACACTTCAGCATTCAACTCAACACCACCTTGGAGCACTCCCTGGCTCTGGCACACAGACAAAATCTCTCAGAGAAGGCTCCTCATTCGCTAGGGCAGAGATGGTGCTCACCCACACGTACAGAGCTTCCTTGGTTCCCATCACACTGGGCTCATGGGAGGCCCTGATAAATGTCTGCACAGAAAACAGTCTCCTTGGGCCAAATGATACCACAAGTCTCACAGAGCCTGACACAAATCTACAGTTTAGAATGCAGTGTAACCTACATTCATTAAAATCCTGAGCCACTCACAAGAAATGTCTGGGGATTTTACTTTGTGGGTGAACCAGAATGGAATCAGACAGAACCAACGGGACTGACTACGACAAGGCACTGGGACCACAGCACAGAGAAAGGAGCACAAGACTGGGAGTCAGTCCTGGCTCTGCCACTACTCAATAGTAGGACCCCACTTCCCAAATACTAGGTAAGGAGTGCTGCTTATCAACCAAGAGCAGTGGTCCAGAAGCCAATTAAATCTCCTGGATCCAACCCTAGCCCACCTCCTCCCCCACCTGTAAAATGGGGAGAAATCTACATTATAATTGTGCTTTCCAAGCTTGTACCATAGAAAACTTTGCTCTACAAAGACACATTCACATATTTGGGAAACGCTGGGTTTAAACAATGTGACACAGAGTTTTTCCCAATCCAGGACTTCTTAGCATCTTTAATGAGAACAGTGACTCTCACAGAGGTGTCAAGGTATATGCCGCATTTTTCAGATGCATTTGGCCAAGGAACTCTTCTCTGAGAAGTCCTTAGCAATATCTCCTGGAACAATACTAGACTAGATTTCGAAGGTCCTTTCTAGCTTCAACACTCTAAGATTCTAAGTAGGACTCAGATATTGGCCTCTAGGTCTAAGCTCTCCAAGATGTTGGTACTAACATCTGATAACAGATACCTTGAAGACTCCCCTATCATACTTGGGAGTGAGAGAGACTAACTTCTTCCCTTCAAAGAGACCTTGCCAGAGTGACCAAGCCCAAAGTATTGCCTAAAAGGAAGATACAAAGTTTCTGGGAAGAAAGGTAGTAGGTAGAAGGTAAAGGCCACCCACACACAGATTACATTTCCTTCAAAAGAGATGTATCACATGTGCTTTCCTACCTGGGCGATAGGCCTGCTGCTGCTGGTCCATTTCCAGTGGTCTCCTCTCGTAGCCTGACTCGTTCTCTTGCTTGATGACCTGCGTCTCATAGAATTGGTTCTGCATGGTAATATTGTCCATGACATCTTAAAACAAAAAATGGCCAGTTAGAAGGGTATTTGTTGGGACTAGAGGTAGCTTTTTAAAACAAAATGATGCCATCCCCACTGTGGACAATCAGTCTTCCAGAGGCCAAAAGATGTGAAAACACCTTCTGATGGAAACCCACCTGGGCAGTCAGGGGCCCCAGCTGCCTGAGGACGGGCCCTCCTGCCCCTCAAAAGTTAAGAGATCTATCTGTGACTAGGTTCTACAGAATCCTAACATATAAAACCAAATGAAGCAGAAATGCTCTGGCTGGAGCAAGGAGATGGGAAAGTCGGAGAAGGGGTCCAGCTTGACCTCCCCTCTAAGTCCCCACTGGGGTGGCGGGCAACTCCATGAACACAGCTTAAAAATTACCAGCCCAGCTGTTCTCTGACATGGTATAAAGCTTAGGGAGTTGCCTTTAAGGTACAACCTTAAAAACTGTTCAGAGCACAAACCAGTCCTCTATCCAACCAATTCACTATTCCTACCTGCAGAGCCAAGTCTCTTTATGAATCTCTTCTACCCTGCAATAGCTGTAAAGATAAGGGGTAACCATCTCAGTTGAAGGGGAAATGGGGGAGGAAGGAAAAGGAACTGTTAAGAAAACAGGAGTCATGATAATAGTGGCCTTCAAACTCATTAGGGATAAGCCCTAAAACATTTGGAGTTAGGCAGGAAGTGTTTCAGGAAGGTGTTTTTGTGGATCCAGGAGGAACTCAACTGAAGGGTGGCAAGAATAACAACATCAAGGAATTTCCTGTGGTTAGGATTTAGTGCTTTCACTGCTGGGGCCAGGGTTTAATCCCTGGTTGAGGAACTAAGATTCCGCAAGTTGTGCAGTGAGGCCAAAAAAGGGAAAAAAAAAAAAAAATCAACTATTCATGGAGTAGAGTACATACTACACACCACATGCTAGGATACAACTAAGAACAAATTTCAGCTTAGTGAGACAGACACACATTAAACAAAACTGAAAGCACAAAAATTGTATTGTATTAAGGGCTATGAAGAAGTACCAGGGGCTGAGATCAGGGACCCAGAAAGTAACAGATAAGCTTGGACTCAAAGGATACATAAGTGGTGATAACCCAGTGATGAGAATGGAGAAAACATTCCTGGGGGTGGGGTGACACATGTGAAAGCTCACAGATGGGACTAAAATCTGAAACTCCTTCAAGGAGAACCCTGTAGCCAAACCCAGAGAGAACTTTGGAAACCTAGGTTGAGTAGCAAGCAGGTTCTCCACCCCAGGGGCAGGCTCTGCAAGGTGCCTCCAGGGCCCTACTAGTGACTGTGCCAGGACCAGTGAGGCGGAACCATGGGGAAGGAGAGACTATTCTGCTGCTTGCCAACTGATTGGATCCTTTCTCAGAGGACACATGTATCTGGGCACAAACCAGGTGCGGCCCAAAGGGAGGAAAGTCATACAGATCACGTGGTTCGCTACAGGTCTGTTTACCAGGGCTGAAGGAAGGGTTGGAGAGGGGCATAAAAGGGGCTCAGAGGATTTTGCTGTAATGGATAGGAGAGAAAGGAAGAATAACTCCTTAATTAGAATACAGGGGGCCCTTTCATACCATTGCGTTTTTTCCAGGCCCTAAGCACAGTGCTGTTCTTGCCACAAAAGCCTCATATCTTTCTTTCCGAGAATCTCTCCTGCGCTCACAGAGGAAGCCTCGCCCAGAGAAGCTTATGATTCTGGGGCCCTTCTCTGTTCTCTAAAACATTTACCTCCTAATAACAGGCAGGCCCAGTGCTAAGCCCCTTACACAGGTAATCTCATTCATCCCCAAGCAGGGAGGGGGGCACTATTATTATATCCCAATTTTACACACAAGGAAGCCAGAGCTCAGAGGTGAAGTGACTTGCCCAACACAAAAATCTGAGTCTAGAGTCTCTGCCGTAAAGCACATCACTTTTCTTTGGAGACATTTCTAGCCATCGGCATTCCTTCCAGGGTCCTGCCTGCCCTAGGCAGGTACACTGAGCTACTCCTCCTTCCTTGACAGGTCTCTGCAATGGGAAGTACTCCTCCCAGCATCTGAGTCCTAGACAACCACCCTCCACCCCCAATCTACCTTCAGATTGCCCTGCTCTACGCTAACACAGAAATACCCTGTGCCAACCCCAAATCTACTCTCTTCCCTGATTCTCTTGCTCCCCTCATTTGATCCTCTTACTCTCATTTCTTTAGTCCCACAGCGCAGGGTACCCTCTTTTTCAGGTAAATGAAACAAACTCTGGATGCCAGAGTCCTTTCTACTTACTCTTCATCTTTTCCAATTACCATGTCCTGTCCTGCTAGAAAGCCACCTGTTTTTAACTTGATTTACTTCCTCCCATACCGGGGTCTCTTCCCTTCAGAAAGTCACAGATCTACTTCATCTCCTCTCCTTCAGAATGTCTGATGCAGAGGTTCTCAACTACCCCTTGAGGCCTCTCCAATCCCTAGGCACACACACAAAAAACCCTGCTTCTGGGGACCGAGGAGCCCTCTCACAGAGATGCTCAGCCCCAGAAACACTCCCGCCCCTTCACCCTGAGGCCCCCTGCCAAGTCAACAAGTTTTCTTTCACCCTCCACATCATACACACTCTTCCCTTCCCTATATGTGACACACCAGCTACACACTCTTGTTGTGCAAGGATCCTCTACCCCCCCCCCAGATAATCCCTTAACTTCAAACTCCACAGACTTGTTATCTACCCCACCCACTCCCAGCTACCTAGCTCTCCAAACACCCTGTATTGTTAATCTAAGACCATTCAGCAGGAGCCACTGCGTTATCTGTCCCCAGTGCCTTCCTAGCTCCAGACCTCCAGGTACTTCACCCAGTGAAGTACCCTCTCCCCCACCAGCTTCTGAACATCGATGTTCCCATATACCTTCTCTAAAAGTCAGCCAAAAGGGCCCCAGATGGCCAGCATCAATCGCCGAGGTTGCCCGTGCCTCAAGGCTGGCCTTTCAGCCCTGGATCTGAGACCCCCCCGCCCCTGGCCGTCCTCAGACTGATAGGTGTACCCCATGGTACACATAGTAGTCTCTCGCATCCCCTAAAAGCTCCCCAGTCAACCACTAGAACGCACAGTCCGTCAGACCCTCCCCTGGCTAGACACCGGAACTCCATCTTACCAACCCATCCCAGTAATAAACACGAGAATTCCCCGGTACCCCATCCAGCAGCAAACTCCAGGATCCTCCATCCTCAAAACGCTCCCAGCCCTGAAAACACGGCTCCCAAGCCTACCCAGCTCCAAATCTTAAGATCACCATCTTTAAGATCTCAGTCTCCTAAAAGAGATCCCTTGTTCTTCCGACTGTCTTCGGTTCCAAAAACCACGGCTTCCGGTTTTTGAGCCGTAGGCTCGGGAATCCTGTACACCCCCACCCCGAACCTTCCTCATCTCCAAAACCGAAAGCCCCCACTCCAGTATCTTCCCTGCGCCGAATGCCAGGATCCACCCTACGGTCGTCCCGCGGGCCTCGTCCCCCGATCCTTTTCAGCGGCGGGGAGCGGTATCCCCCGATCCTCAGACCTTCTCCCCGACCTCAGGCGCCGGACTCCCGCGTCCCACAGCCCTTCCTCGGCCCGGAGTCCGGGCTCCCCGGCCCCCGCCCCGCGCACTCTCACAATGTCCGTCCGGCCCCGAGTAGCCGCCGGGCTCCGGGTGCGGCTGCAGCCCGGGCGGCGGTGGCTGCGCGGTCCCCTCCAGCTCGGAGCCCCCCTCGGTCTCGACCTCCTCGTTGTTGTGCCCGGGTCGCCCCGGTTCGTCGTCGGCCTCGAGCTCCCGCTCGTCGTCGGGCTCCTCGGCCTCCAGCGCAGCCTGCAGCCGCTCAGCAAGCTCGGCCTTGAGGCCGCGAGTGTCCAGGCCGCGGCGCTGCAGCTCCTCGCGAAGTTCGTTCACCTTCAGACGGCGCACATCCATGGCCCGGGCCCCCGGGGCGGCCCCCGAGCCCGGCCCGGCCTCCCAGGGCTCTGTCCCCCTTAAACCTTTCCTGTCAGCAGGCGAAGGGGGAAAGGGGGGGGCCCCCCACTCCAATGGCGGCGGCGGCTCAAAATGGCCGCCGCCGCCACCTCCCCCCTCCTCCGTGGCCAGGCGCGATGCAACACGGTTGCCAATTGGCCACCTCATAGGGGCAACGGGCGCGGGCCAAGGGCTCAACCAATCAGAGAGAGTCTTTCAAAAGAACGGCAATGAAAGGGCTTAGGAGCTGCCGGGGAGGAAGCGTTGGCCTACGTCGATGCCGGGGCCGAAACGGGAGGGCGGGAAAAGGAGGGAGGAGGAGCGCGCGGTGATTGGGTAGTGCCCGCGCGCCCGCTGCCGTAGGGTCAAATGAGGGAAAGAGAGTAAAGATTTGGACCAATCAGTGATGGGGTCTCAGAATGAGCGCCGCACGGCCTTCCCTGCGCGGTCCTTTCATCAAACTAGTGTCTCTGTAACACATATCTTGATTGGTCTAAATCTCCCGCCCCAGAGGCGTCCAAGCGGGTAAAACCACCAGAACCAATCAAATGGAGAGTCGGCAGACCTCCCCCCTCCTCCTCTCACGATTGCCTTTAAGAAACCGGAAAGAGATGAATTCACTAAAGACCTGCCCCTTGCCGTTAGGGCGGTTTCAAAACAATCTGTCCACCAATCTCAGTTACTGACTTATCTCACTAAAGCTAGTAGAGTTGCATGGTTTTAGGAAAACCTAAACAGATTGGCCATTCTGGTTACGGACGGCCTTACAAATTTCGCTGTAGAGGAAGTATATGAAATCGAGATTAAGTAGATAAATTATTCTTAATCTGGAAGAAACTCAGTTGTCTGTAAGAAAAGCAACCCTTTGACTTCAGAGTCCTGAAGGTTTGAAAATAAACGCTAGGCTAACAGCGGGAGAAAAGTTATAACGGAATCGCACCCTCTCCCCTTTGATAGTACATTTCATCGAGCGCCTCCTTCCACGATCGTAGCTGAGCTTCCGTCTTTATGGTTGGTCTGTTAAGTGAATGGGCGCTCTGCACGCAATCATAGAGCCTTTCCCTCCGGAAAGACCTCAGGTTCAGAGGTCTCTACCACAAATCCTTAATTACTGTTCAATAGATCCGCCTGTTTGGCGTCAATATGATAAGCTCAAACACACAGGTCCGTAGTTAAGGCTCTGTTAAACGCCACAGTTTCACAATATCTAACCCTGTCGCCTCTTAACTCAAAAGACACAAAACTTCTGGAAGGTACACTATCGAGATACGCAATGCAAATGCCCGCTGCCCACGGAGCCATACCTAAACCCCACAAAATCCATACACAACCTCTACTTAGACAAAGGCGCACACACAACATAGATAAACAAATGGCGTGTGTAGGATCAGATCCATCCATTCAGGGGATAGTACACCAAACTGCGATGTAGATGTGCCCATTAAGGTTGGCACAAGCAGGCAGCATCAAACGATATAGACACAGGACAGTTACACTACAAGCTTACACCACGGCAACCTACACACACAGCACCCACTCAGAAGCGGGACAGACACTCACGTGGGCCAGTAGGTTCCAGTCCAGACACCCCGCCCCTCGCCCACGTCCGACTTCCTCTCTCCTCCCAGCTTCCCACAATGATTTGTTCTAAAAAAGTTTGTGGCCCGGATTGAACTGTTTTTCATTCTCAGGACCCACCACTGGGGGGCGTCCGGGCGCTGCCAAGGGTTCCTCCGACTGCTGCTAGACACACCCAGGAACTTTTGCCTCTGATTCGTGCAAAACACAGTGGGCTTGTCTTGGCAGGAGTCCCTTTGTGGGCCCGTGGTTACCGGCGGCAGTCCGTGCCTGTGTTTCTATGTGACTCTGAACGTTTGGCTCTGTGTGTCTGTGTGTGCTCAGTCATGTCCGACTTTTTGCCACCCCGTGGACTGTAGCCTCCCATGCTCCCTCTGTCCATGGAATTCTTCAGGCAAGGATACTAGACTGGGTTGCATTTCCTTATCCAAGAGATCTTTCCGACCCAGGGATTGAACTCGCATCTTTCGCTCCTGCTGCATTGGCAGGCGATTCTTTACCACTGTGCCACCTGGGAAGCCCCCTAAGTACTCTATATGTCTGAGTATTTATGTCTGTATCTGTGTTACTCTAGTTACTCAAGTTTCTTATTCTTGGTTGACTGCCTTGCCGGTGCATATTTGTAAACATGTTTATGTAATTTTGTGTTTCTCTGTCTGAATTTGTGTCTCTCTATTTGTGACCAAGAGTGCTTGAGTTTGTCCTTTAATTGATGAGTCTGTTACTTTGGGAAATAGGGAGGATCTCTGTGTGACCCTGTGAGTATCTATGTGCTTATTCCTCACTAGGGGTTTTGTCGAGTCTGGCAAGTCCGCTTTTCTTTGTTTGCCTGTCCTTTTGTCTTTGTATCTGTTCACACCTACCCTCTTTAGTGAGGGGGGGATCTCCAAGACCCCACCAAACCCTCCTTTTTACAGAAGCTGAGTTGCCTGGGAAAAGGGCCATGAGTGGAGACAAGAGGAGACAGAAGCATGGTTACAAAGTTTTATGTGATCTGAGCCCCGCTGAAGGTGCCAGAGTACACACTCTGTTCAGGGGGCATAAAGGACTGGCTCAGGGGGGCAATATGGCCCCCGAAGGAGGGATATTGTCCTCTGGGGAAAGGAGGTGTCCTTAATGCATTGCACAGGTTTGAGGGGGCACACCCCCACATGAAAGGAAGAGGAAGCAGAGGTGGCTAAGAAGGGAAGGGTCACACAGGATAAAACTATAAGGTTAGAACCTCAGAATTTTACTTGGGAATTCTAGATGTTTAGAATCTTATAACATGTGAATCTTGGAACCCAGAATCATAAGACTTAGAACCATGAATTCCTAGACCCTTAACTAAAATCCTAGAAAGAGAAGATGCAGCATAGAACTTAAAGGTGTCCAAAATTAAAAATGATTAGAACTTTGGCATCCAGTTTGTCACCACTAACTGTGGAGTATCTACACCATAGATGCTGAGGATCCAGAATCTTGGACCAATAGGATCTAGAGTGCCTTGGAACACAGAACAGAACAACATTAGAATCTTAGAGTTTAATAATCTAGAATCTTGAAACATGTGATCTGGAATCTTAGACACAGAGAATCTAGGTTCTTAGACTAAGCCTTGGAAATCACATCTTAGAACATTAGACCTTAGAACCTCCATCTTTAGACTATTAGAACTCTTGAATTGCAGATGCTAGCATTTTAGATCTTTAGGATCCACAGTCTTATAACAAGGGTTTCGAGGATCATAAAGCCTTAGACTCTGCCATTGACCATCATTAGAATCTTAGAACTTGAGAAGATCACATCTTGAAGCCTTATGATCTGGAGTCTTAAAACCAGAAAAGTTATACTCTAAGAGGCTCAGAACTTCAAATTTTAAAACATAAGACCTTAGAACCTCCATGTCTAGAACTGTAGGATTTTTAGAATTGTAGGATCTAGTATCTTACACCCTCAGGACTCAGAACCCTAGAAAAATAAAATCTAAAATCA